TAGCCTTTACACATTTGCTGGTCTGTGTGATCTCGTTTTGATGTTTCAGTTGCAACAGGACCATCTCAAAAGCCTACTGCAGTGTCTTGCTTTTACTGCAGCCTGGAAATTTGGTCCTTTTCTAAAGACCCAAGGAGTTGCGTTGTCACCATCTGAGCTGTGTTTTCATTTTTGAGGGGAATCGGCTCCCTGCTTTTTCTATGTTGGTTCCACTGTGTTAGAGATTAAAAAAAGAAATTGTTGTTTTTAGAAATTTGCCTTTGTATGTTATATTTCTAATCCTTGTATTTTAACGTTGTCCCCTTGCCTCCTGTAGCCTTAAAATTCATTCATTTAATCATCTGCTCAGATTTACTGCTTTTGTTTTGAATTGATGTTTTTGCCCTTGTTGAGAATTTTCCTTTGTGGTCACTTTTTTTTTTTTTTCGTTTCTTAATGGCTTGATTGAGCTAAAACTTACATAATGTAAAATCAACTCGTAAGAATACCACTCAATGATTTTAGTAAAATTGGAGAGTTGTGCAGCCATCACCACGATCCAGTTTTATAACCAAAAAATTTATACCAGAACATTCCTACGTGTGGTCACTCGGCTTTTAAACTGCCTTGGGCTTTAGTGACTGAATAACATTAGAGTGAGTGATCTTTATATAATAGATTTTCTTGTTTGAAAGGAAGTCCTTAATGACTTTATTTTTCTTTTGTATGAAAATGTTACCTATTCATATGCTTTCTGCCACCAGTCTAATGAGGCAATTTTTCAGGGTTTTGTTGGGGTTTTTTTTTTTGCTTGTTTGTTTGTTTTGAGATGAATAGTTTTGTTCTGTTAACTTCCATTTCCCATCCCCCAGAGCCCAACACTGCCCGGTTAATCAGCTCCCTGTCACGCCTCGGCGCTCCCTTACCTGATTCATCCCTGTTACCCTTGGACAGGTGCAGTATGCATTACAGCTTCTCTTCCCTGATGCATTGCCCCTCTCCTTCTGACTTCTGTAACTTTTCATAATCTCTTCTCCCCATTTTTTGGTCTCTGTTCTACCCAAATTCAGAGTTGTTGGAGAGGGAGAATCGGACCTAGCCTTGGTTGGTGACAAGGAAACGGTTATATTTTCCTTCCTCCCCCACATTGAATCCTCTCCCCCACCTCCCCCCGGGGTTTATGGCTCAGATGATCAGTCCTTCTGCGCTGGAGGGCCTGTTTTATTTCACTTCCAGGAGTGGTGGTGGGCTTGTGTCTTTGGCCCCAGTTAAACTAGCTCTAACTTTGGAAGAACTGCTGAAAGTAAGATTAGCAGAAAGGCATCCTGCTTACATTGTTAATAGAGATAGTAAGTCAAGAGTGCCTGGAAAGAGGTCATTCCTGGATACAAAGTGTGGTTATGTCATTTTACCGTGACTTTCAGCTCCAAATAAACTAGTAATAAAATTGCCTTTCATTTTTAAAGCTTTATACATTAGATCATATTTAGAGCCTATATACATTACAATGATCTCCTCAAAAATGTGGTATAGAGGGGAAAACAGGCTTCAAAATCTGTTTCTGCTCTTCTATGTATTGCTCTGTGACTGTGAGCCAGTTTGTTTTGCTGGGCCTCAGGTACCGCATCTGTAAAATGGGAATAACATTTCACAGGATTGTGGTGAAGATTAGGTTAAATGACATGACATCTTGCCTTGCCCAGAATGATCTGTGTATCCTCTCTGGGCACATCTACTTCTGCAGTAGGAAATGGACCAAGTCCAAGAATGAATAAGCCATCTCTTCCCAGAGTGTCAATTAAAGTTGGAAATTGGTGTGTGTGTAAGGTTGGGGGTACTTTAGTTAAATAAGAGCAGATTTATTATATGAAGTCCACCTTTATCTTTAAGGAAAAACTAAATGCATTTTTAAAAAATGGCATGCTTGAGACAGGCAACTTCAGTCATCCCCTTGGAGCCCCTGGCATTACTCCTTTGCTATTAGGAGTGTTTCCATGGAAAAATTTGAGAAGCACTAGTGCATGAAAGGGTCTAGCAAGGTCCATGCCGTACAGGACAGTCTCATTGAACTTCCCATCCCTGATTCATGAAGCTTTCCGTCGCATTTCCCAGCACACACTTGGTATCTCCTCTCGGATGTGGCTAACATTGAGTGCAGCATCCTCCCTCCACGCCTGATTTTCATCTGATTACCCTACCGTAGTAATCACCACCACTGTCCATTCAGCTATTCAAGTCGTGAATTAAGAAGTCGTCCTTGACCCCTCTCTTTCCTGCACATCCTACACTTAGACTTTAACTTCAAGTGGTGGCAACACCGCCAGCTTCACATGTCTTGAGTGCATCCTTTGTCTCCACCTCTGTCTTCAGCATCTTAGTGTAGCTCCTGTTATCTTCTGCCTCGCCTTTTGAAGCCACCTAGTCACTGGCTTCCCTCCGATCCGTCCTCCACGCCAAAGTGGACGTTGATTTTTCAAATACTCAAATTTGATCATTTCTTCCCATTTCCTTCACAATAACCTGATCAGTAAGGCCCTGCATAGCCCAGCACCTCTGCCTCTCTGGCCGCATCTCCAGCCATCATTCTGGACCTGATGCTGATGGTACAGTCACACCTGCTTGCTTTGTGTTTGTCCAGGGCACCGTGATTCCTCCATCGGGAGCAGTTACCCAGCGTGCTATGTCTGGAGTGTTTCCTCAGCCCCTACCTGACCACTCTGGGCTGACATAAAGTATATTGGTCTTTAAACTCAGCCTGGGGTCTCTGCCTCAGAAAAGCCTTTTCTAACCCCCCAGTGGAGGAGGTTATCACATGCTCTGATGGAACCATGTCTTCTTTTAAGAAGACTCAATTTGCAATCTCAGTTTGCAATCATACATTAGGTAATATTATAATTTGATGACTAAATCACACATTAGTCTATAATTTCTGTGAGAGCAAGGACTGTCCCTTTGGTCACTGTCATGTCCAGCCCCTGGCGTGGTGCCTTTCACTGCAGGCAGGTGGTCCTCAGTTGTTGAATGCGTACGCAGAGACAGCTGAGGTCCAGATGGCTGAGGGGTCGTCCTGAAAGATGTCCATGTTCTGCTGATGCTTGAGATCTTGGACCTCCACGCCCAGGGCTCCACCCGCCTCGCTGCAGACCCTTCCCTTCGTGCTGTGGGTCCGGTCCTTACACTTAGTCCGTAGTTTTGAAAAGCCCCTGGGACGTCTCATTTCTTTGAAGAGAAATCGATTCATTTACGTGGTTCAATGCAGGATGGCAAAGCACCTTTCTTCACCTTGTCTGTTCAGTCTTTCCCACTTTGCTGCCCAGCAAATCTTTTTAAAAAAAATCAAGCAGAACTTTCTAACCTAATTGCACACACTTCCCTTTCCCTTCCCCAGGCATCCGTCTCCTGCACAAGAACACCCTTCTGCCCTCTTCCCACCCTATCGTGTCCTTTGGTTCTGAGCATACAACTCCTTTATCTCCCCAAATGCGCAGAGCTCCCCTGGTTCACACCCACCTCTAACCCTTGTCCTTCCTTCCAGCCTTCCTGCCCTCACTTCTGTGTGTATATATTTATAAATATCTATCTTATTATTAATACATTCTCAGTAAGCTACCTGCTAGGACAACCTAACCTAACATTAATTTTTCCTTCTCATGCCACTTAGTTCGCTGTAATCTAAAGGAGGGAGTTAGGATGCATTTTTAAAACAGTGAGTTCCAAGTTACGGAGTCAGTGGTTTTCAGCCTTGAAATGCCTGAGAATAACCCAGAGAGCTTTTTATTACCATATAGACGTCAGGTCCAACCTGGACCTATTAAATCAGAGTGGCTGGGGCTGAGGCACCACTGTTTTCCCAGGCTAGCCAGGTGACTTGATGAAGGTTACACAGCAAGCGGGTAACAGAGTTACAATCATGACTTTCATTTCTTTGCCTTCTTTCTAGTTCTTACTCATATTATTTGCACTAAATTCTAATGAGAAGTGTATGTTAATCTGTATCTAAACTTGTCTGCATGACTTAGTTTCCTTATTTTATAACTGGACCTTTTTTGTTCTCCCTGAATAACTGTGTATCCAAAGGATGTGAAGAGGCTCAAGCTGCAAAAGCAACCGCAGTCACCTCTCACCTCCTCCGCTCGGTGTTTACTGAAATGTCAGCTGCCAGAACAGCCTTCTTCTGCAGGCTCTGCTGATTTCCCCTGCCCTACCCTGAGCCACGGTCCTGCCCTTTGGTGCAGCCCCTCACGTCCCCACTCCAGGGCTCTGTTTCCACTTGACTTGCCCTCCGTCACGCCCACTGATCTGAGAGGAAACGCTCCCTCTTCCTCCTTCATCCCCCACCTGCCTGAGCGATCGGCTCTGGTGAGTGGCTGGGTCACGGTGGAGGTGCATCTGGGAACCAAGCAGTTCATTTCCTTGCTTGGAGCCTAAGAGAGGAGAGCAGTGGGTGGCTGTCCCACAGAGGTCTCCCACTGCCCCCCAGGCTCTTCTTGGAGACCCGGGTACCAATCCAGGGAACTTTTTAGGAGATACTTTCACGTCATTTGTTTAATAGTCAAGAAGCAACAGAATCCTCAGTGAGATGTGATCTAGATGAATTAGGTAATTAAAAAAGAAGTCCTACCTATGAGGAAAGGCCATACACAGGAAGATAGGTATGTCGCCAAGATCAAGAGTAGCGTTTCTGGCTTTGAATTCTAGACCCGCTTCTCAGTGTGCCTCCAGGAGTTTGTTGAGTCCCCTCTGCTACAGTTTCCTCCGTCACCTGCTGCATTTAAATAAAGTGAAATAAAAATGCCTATCTCCTGGGTAATTTGATTGTTTTGAAGATTAAATAAAATAATCGGATTAAAATGCTGATGATTGTATCAGAAATGTTGACTGCTATCATTAGCTTCCATTAGTAAAGTATAATTTACAGAAGTTTTTCCATACGTTGCATTTCAGTACTTCTTAAAATAGGATGCTTTTTAAACACGTCTTTGTTACCTGTTTACACCTGCTTCCCTGTGTTTTGCTTGTAGCCCTGGAAAGGAAAATATCAATGAGGCAAAGCAGAGAGGAGCTGATAAAACGAGGAGTCTTGAAGGAGATCTATGACAAAGGTAAGAGGACTGTTCCAGCCTCGGGGGTCCAGATGGAAGCTGTGCGTGGAATCCGTGTGCATGTGTCCCGGAGTTGGATTTGGTTTTCTGTGTCACTTTATCAGAGTTGGACCCTTTAAAACTCCAGACACTCGCAGAGAGATCTGAGGAAGCAGCAGACAGTGCTGAAACTATCGGTGTTACAGCAGGGACTAGGGCTCCCGCTTTCTCGGTGTTGAAGTCAAACCACAGGATGCTACGGGGAATGACGTGGCTCCAGGAGTGGTGTCGGTGCTGGTGGTGAGCGCCTTGGTGTCTGAGCACACATGGCTGGGGCGAATATAATTGCTCAGGCTCTTTCAGGCACCAGGGGTTCCCAAGACAGACGTTAAGCATCCACAAGCATCTGAAATTTCCCTAACAGATTTTTTTTTGGCAGCTCATCTCCCCATAACAGAAGAAATCAGAGTGGAGAAAAGCATAAACTATAAGTGTACACGTAAGATACTCCAAATGCTAGTAGTTACAGTGATTCGGACGCTCTGTGAATGTGTCCACAAGCGTTTGCCAGTGAACTTATTCTATGTCTGTTGCTAACTGAATTCTGGCCTTTAAATACAAATGTATGCAGTGGTTTATACAGTATAGTAAGTATTCCTCTCCCTTCCTCCCCTTCCCCTCCCCCTCCCCCCTTCCCTCACCACTCTTCACTTAAGGCTTTAAAAGAAATGATGAACTGTTGATTCCAATCTTGTTACACTTACCACTAGTAACTGTCAGTTTCAGGTCTTATTGTTTGAGGCCTGTGTTATTTGTTGGGCCAGATTATTAAATCACATACTCTACTCTAAAGGTCCACCCTGATCATCAGAGTGACCCTGTAAGTCCGACAGCGCAGTCAGTTGACCGCGTTCGTGTGGGTCTTCCCTGTGCCTAGTCTGTGTTGTAGCACAGAAAGGCGAGTGGTGTTTCAAACTTGATTGCTTCTCCGTGATTCCCTGTCGTCAGTGAGTTGGTCCTTATTCCTCTAGTGCAGTTTGCCTCATTCTTTCCCATCACGGGGCTTCCTGGTGGCACTTTGGGAGTGTTCTTTCTTCGCACACACGGCCACCCTGAAATGCTGCAGGTAGGAAGTGGTGCTGCTCTTGCCCCAGGGGCAGGGGGTGCGGGAGGCGGGGTGTGAGGTTAACTCTCAGAGCCCCCTGGTGCCAAGGCATCCCTTGGCGAGTCACTGTTTGTCTTTCTGTTTCTGGGTAAGGCCAAACCAAGATCCACCATCTTTCATTAATTAAGCTCTCCAGGGGAAAAGAATCCATAATTTTGTCACTTTTATCCAATGTCTTAATTTCTGTACAGCCCCCTGACCCTCCCTTGTTATTGACCTTAAGTTTCCGTTTTGCAGCCCAAACTCTGTTATTCATGTGCCCTCCCTGGTAGAGAAGGGGCATGTCTGACCACCACTGTGCTATTACGTGATCAGCGCCCAGTGATGGCTGAAATGAACATTACTGTCACAGCTAAAGTCTGTGCAGATGCAGTTAAATGACCCCTTCCTCTCCCTCCTTTCTTCCTGCCGCCTTTGTACCTCTCACTGTAAAACTTCAGGAATACCCTAGAGAATACATTTCATTACAGTATTTATTATTTCCATTACACCTAATAACTAGGTTGGGTCAGTATTGCCTAAGGTACTTCCTGACTTAATCAAAGCAGTACTAGAGTGTTAGAGCAAGGCCTCATTTTACAGAGGAAGGAACATGGTGGCTGGGGTACTGAGTCTGGGGCCTGCCAGCACCACGCGGGCACTAGGAGTTCCCCCAGGATTCAGAGCCGTGTCCTGTTCGTGGTTGTTCCATAGCTTGCACCCAGTAGCTGGCTGTGGAGGAGGGGACCAGTCTAGCCCTGAGCTGTCACCACAACTTCTGGTTTTATTTTTGTCTTTGCGCTTATCAGTGTGCCTTGTACTGTTCAGTTGTCGGCTGGCTTTCCTCACCAGCGCAGAAACCCCAGGAGAACACGGACCTCATTGGCTTATTTGCAGATCCCCCAAGCCTCAGATTACTTGAGATAGATCAGCTCACATAGATACTTACTGTTTGGATGATGGGAGGAGGAGCAGAGGGGGACTAAAATTAGAAATCCATTGCACATGGTAGATGTAGAAGTTGGTATCTGCTGTGGGCTTTTCTGATAAAAGCATCCATTTTGTACCACTGTGGGTGTTAATGACATTACCTTATGTCACATTCCATCAGCAGTTAGGAACCTGGGCCCTGGAATCAGATTGCTTGGATTCAACTCCAGTTCCACTACTGAATAGCTGTGCAACTTTTGTCAAGTTGCTTAACTTCTCTGTGCTTCTATTTCTTTATCTGAAAGTGTGGATGATGTTGTTATAATGAGGATTATATGAGATAACATTTGTATTAGTTTACCTGGGCTGCTATAACAAAATACTGCAGGCTGGGTGACTTAAGCAGCAGAAATGCATTTCCTCACAGTTTTGGAGGCTGGAAGTCCAGGGTCAAGGTGCCAGCAGGGTTGGTTTCTGGTGAGGCCTCCTCCTTGGCTTGCAGGCGGCTGCCTTCTGGCTGTGTCCTCACACGGCCTCTCCTCTGGGCCCGCACACTCCTGGTGTCTCTTCCTCTTTTCATAAGAAAATCAGTCCCACTGGATCAGGGCCCACCCTCATGACCTCATTTAACCTCAGTTCTTCCTTAAAGGCCCTCTCTCCAAGTACAGTCAGACTAGGGGTTTGGGCTTCGGATAGAAATTCAGGCGAGGGGGTGACACAGTCCAGTCCATAACACGTGAAGGTAGCGGCCATCGTTCCATACATTCACGAGAAATTGCTAACAAACTGTCAGTAGAAGTAATCGCATCATCTTCCTTTATATTTTTTGAAACCCTTTACGTGCCTGACCCTGGTTCAGCAGGCCCACGAGTTAGGAAGGGACATCACTGTCCTCTTTTATCTGAGGTGCAAGGCTCTTCAACCCGCCTCACGGTGGTCTTACTAAGCCCCTTGATACCCGATTTAATTTCCTTCTCACACCCCCTCCCTGCCTCCTCTTAACCTCTAAATGGGCCATTTTCTTGTCATTCGTTCTTCCCTTCCTACAACATCATTCAAGTTGCTGTGTCTGGGATCCTACTGAGTAAAACAAATAAAATTTGATTGCTGCAACCTGAGTGAACAGCACGTGGCAAAGAGCATTTAATGGTTTTCCAAGTAGTTTGTCTCAAAGATGAATTTCATAGATTTTCAGCAGTCCTTCCACATTGCTGGGCCGTCATGCCTCATCTTGGACCGCCTTTTGGGTTAGCGCACATGACTCTGGTCCTTTGGCAGCAAAACAGTTTCCACCAGAGATGCATGGTCCCTGACAGCTGCCCATTGATTTGCAGTTGTTACGTCAGCCGGTTCACGGGGCCGGCCCCTGTTCATGCAGCAGCTATACTGTTTTGGGTACGGTGTTGCTAACCTGGTGGAAAGGAGTTTATCTTTAATTGGCAACATTTTCTCTTCCAACTCTTAATAATTTTGTTGGATAATACCTCGCTCATTCAGAAAAATATAAACGGTAGGATGGAGATTTGTAACTGTTTCAGCAGGGTGGCCTCAGAATTAATGAGGTTTTATTACTCTTGATAGTTCTCAAAATTCTTTATATTTTTCTTAGCAGGTTAAAATCCCAAACTGGTCAATAAATTTAAATCAGGCGAAATGAGAGCTTAGGTTGAAAAGGGGAAATTTTCTCAATATCTGTAGAAACTAGCTCAGGAATTCTTCATTTCATGGGATGTGTTGAATGTAAAGAACATAGGATACTGGACAGCTTGTTCTTTTTTATTGGTTTCCATATAGAATCCTGTAAGATCAGAATGCAGAAGGAAGTTTAGATCAAAGTTTTAAACTCAGAGAAAATGGTTTGATTTCTGGATACATCAAGGCCATGTAAGAGTGCAGCAAACTTTAAAAACTACATACAAAGAAAAGTTTTAATTGTTAATCATGATGTGGTAGGAACATAAAATTGTAAATTCTTTTTTGTCTCATTTTCTGTATGTTTCATAATTTGGATTTAGCAATTTTATGAAAAACACAATGTAAACATTATACTGAACCATCATCACTCAAAAGATATTAAATCAACTAATGATAGAAAATAATCTGTAATTTGAGAACTTATTTTGAACTATTTATTCCCTAATTTTGTAGCCTGTTTGTTTGAATTAGAAACGTAAGGGTTCTCCTGGGCTCCTAGGACATTCATTCGTTCATTCAACAAATTGTCCATGTGATCTAGGTGTTCAGCTGCAGTGATAACCGAAAGAGCAGACTTCTTACCTTCTCAGAGTTGACATTCAACTAAAGGAAATATGAAATAATTATATAAGCATATGATATATTGTCAAGGAGCAATAAGCACTATGAAGACAAACAAAGCAGCAGGGTAAGGAGAGAAATTCAGGGAGTGGGGAGCCATGATTTTATATAAACGCAATCATGGAGGACTTCTGGAGGAGGTGATATTTGTACGACCTAAGTGACGTGATCAGTGCCTGAAATGGGAGTGTGGGTCCTACTAGTGCTTCAAAACAACTTAAAACCTAATCATGAGCCTTTAAGTTCTTTACATTGACTCAGTGTGTTTCTTTTAAATTAAAGCCTCTCTTTACACTTGCCTCTCTCTTAGTCCTCTGTAACTCAGAGGGCCCCCCTGCTCAGAGCCTGAAGTGGCTCCCCACTTCACTCAGAAGTTCCAAGTTCCTGCCACAGCTTAAGAAGCCCTCCACAATCTGCCCTCAGCTAACTCCCTGGATGGACCTCCTTGTAACTTATCTCGCCAGCCCTGCTTTCCGGCCCCTGAGGTTGACACTGGCTGCAGCTTTCTTTCTAGAACCCTCTTCCCCTGGATACCCATCCACATGGTTCACTCCTCCTTCAACTCTTTGCCCAAATGTCAGCTTCTCAATCAAGCTTACCTGGAACCCCTAGATTTTAAATTGCCACCTCC